CCATGATCCTTAGATTCTCCGTCGTTGTTTATGTTATGCTTTTGTTGTTGGATCGTGCCATCTTTGGTGTTGTGCGGTGTCTTCTATGGCGCTGTACTCTTCTTTCAATCTAATGAAATACATTTGGCTCTCCTGTATGATTTGAAAAAAAAAACGATTACCAATACGATGCTCAGCTCAGCCTGGTTGAGATCGATAGACGAGTTTGTTGTAGCAAAAGAGATATCCTGAATTTAAAGGGTATCATCTACGGTGGAATACATGCAGCTGGGCTAGGGGTAGAAGAGGATTTTTGACATATCAGTACTCCCTTAGTTCCAAAAGATAGTTTGTAAGATTTTTTTAAGCTTTGTGAAGTTTAACCAATATTGTAGAAAAAATATGTACATTCATAATACAAAATAATATCATTAGATATATCATGGAAGATATTTTTATACTGTAATTATGTGCTATTATTAATGTCAGACATTTTTTATGGTGTTTGACTTTGGAAAACACATACTACATTACTTCTTGTTTGACTTTTGATAAAACAGATACACCTTACATAAATAAACGGAGTAAGAATGTTCTAGTAGTTGCATTTACTGGTGCCCCTTAGAAAGTCCCCCACCCCCGACACTCTTCTGCCCTCGCTGCCGCCAGAGGAAGTCGTCATGGAAGCCGAGTGGCTCCTGGTGCCCTCGCCATGGTTGCAGCGAGGTTCTTGCTGCACCGTTTTTGTGTGCGGGCTCCGGAAACCGAGTGGCTGCCTTGCGTGGTGAGACGGCATCATCTTTGGAGATGAGTGGTGCCTGTGGGTGCTGATCCTTCTTGGTTGTGCTCCTAGTGCGTACGTGCCAAACTGAAGGATATCACTCTCACCCCTCTCCGACGCACTCCACCCCGTGGGATCTGGTCCCTCGGTGGACGGTGGTTCTGGTTGGACTGGTGTGCTGCACCCTTATCCGTACCGTTCACCATTGTGATAGGATTTGTACTAGCCAACTAACTTACTACATGCCGCTTTTTTGTTTCTTTCAAACGAAACAACATATGGACGTAAAACTTTGCAGGCCAACAATACTTCATAACTACTGTGTGTAAAAAAGCTTTCGGAATTTTTTGGTATAGCATAAATATATGAAATGATATTTTTTTCCATTAAGCAATATTATTTTAAATATTTATGATGCTTGTAGGATGTTTTATTGAATCTTGTACAGTTGTACATGCCATTTGGGGCCTTGTTAATTTTTTTTGTTAGAGAAAAGGCATACGTCCGACTTTATAAATAAAGTCACACGGCAGAGTAACAACCCACCAGCATCAAACAAACAGTTTGCCCAAAACACTCAGGGCCAACCACAATAACCATAGTTCTTTTGGGCCTTGTTAATTTGAAACCAGGCCTAATGTCTTTTTCTAAAAATATCTAGTCAGACAAAATAAATCTGTTTTAGACAAAATCTAAGCAAATTCCATTGAACTCTTTTTAAAATTTGGAATATCCCCATAAAACCCACCTACCAGTTCACCTTAAGAATATTTTCCAATCCATTACCAAAAAAACATTGCAGATCCTACAATCTAGAACTTGCAATATATCGAGGTAATTTTGAGAATTGTTACGCAGGATTTGAACCAGTAATTTTTTTTATGGAAGCTGCAGTACTTTGCTGTGTATTTTTATTATTTTTCAAAAAATAGGTACAAAAGGTCCAAAAGAAAAAAGAACTACACAACCTAAAAACCTAGCAAAAAATGAAGGAAAAGCAAATCAAAGCAGAAAATACATGGGGAAACTACAACAAATACAAATACAATAAATAGGCCCAAGGGCACATTATCTGAAAGAACTGACCCATGGTTCAAAACTGATGTATGCCTTCCTGTGCTCCATGGAGAATCCATTTGAGTTCCTCTTTAAATTTCTTCCTGCAAGTGTAGAGGTTGGGAGGCAATCTCTTCAAAATGAAGTCATTCCTGTATGTGTGATGTGCTACTACTATATTTGTGGTATGCAAATTGATACATGAAACCCTACTAAAAAAATCCACTTTTAGTCCACCACTATTTGGTTTCAAGTTTAGATCTACAAACATAAGCAAATTTGACTTTTAACATTCAGCATCAGACGAACGTCATCACCCCAGTCAAAGCAGGTCTGGACAATAATGTGCGGTTACCAACCCATAAAAACTTGTCTGCAAAAATAAGTTTTGCATATTCCTAACACAATGCTGTAACTTCACTCTATCTATCAATGCAAAGATACTCGAGGCTTTTGCGTATTCGCCGAAAAAAAATAAGTTTTGGGAAAAATCATAAGTCTAAGAAAAGCCTGGGAAAACAGAAAAAGGCTTATAGTTGAATGCTATTTTTTATTCAGAAAGCATGCAAAAAGTCTTCAATGATCAAAACAATGCGCAAAATTTTTGGGATAAAACATTTTCTCCATTCCTACGATTATATTTTGTCGTGATTTCCTTGTCACAGGATAAATTTCTCTATTTAATAATCTCAGAAGATTTTATATTTGAAAATATAATATTTAAAAAAATAAACTACATGATTAAATTACTGTATTTGTCCATCTGGACATTATTTAAAAAAAATGGACTAGTGCATGGCGCGTCATGCAAAACCCTATTTTTCTTTTGAGAGGACGAATCCATGAAGTAGGTGTAGAAGTACTCCGCGACCGAGTCCATCATGTTTGCTTCAAAGTGAACAACAAAAATGTCAATAAATTTCACTATGGCATTTTGTCGAACACTTGTCGGGCGTGGTGTTCACCATGGATGATGATGTACAAGGGCAGATGGTACTTGGGGCCGAACCAGGGGTAGAAGGGAGGCGTATGCAAATCGGCTGGCGTGTTGGAGGTCTGGCAAGGCCTGGGCCGCGGATTGCGTAGTATAGCAGCGGCGGCAGTCTTGGACTACGCGGATACACAGCAAGGGTGTAAGGCCGGAGTGAGAAAAGTGGGGTTTCGGGTGGAGTTTTTGTGTGGGCCTGAGGTGTTGGACTCCAATGGGGCGACCGTCCGGGTGCCTGCAAACCTCTCCCAGGGTTGCTTTCAGTTTGCGGGAATTCGGACTTGCGGACGTTTGATGGACGATGTTGGAGGGCACAGTGTCCGAACATCGCGGTCCGGACATCTATGGACGGTTTGATGGACGGCATTGGAGATGCCCTTAGTCCTATCAAATGGTTTTACCGTAAATCATCAAAATCAATTAGGGTACTATGGAAGGTGCACTTTTCACCATCTCATGGGTATTGTGCGGATGCAGGGGTTTGCTAATCTCGTCATAACTCCCCGTTCAACACCCCTCCCTCTCGCAGCAACAGTGATCAAAGGTGGTGCGACAATGGCTGGATGTGGAGCGGTGAGGTACTCAATCTTCTTCCGACGTTCTATCTAGTGACGCGGGTGAGCCTTGGGCCCTCTCAGCATCGAGATCCGGCTAGCGAGAAAGCTTCAGCTAGTAGAGAGGTTGCTAGTGGTCACAGACTCGACAACAAGTATGTGCATACTCTTGGCGGGAACCTATGATCTCACCTCTTCAGTTAGGTCAACATGCATTGGCGTGCTCTTGTTGAAGGTGTTGACTCAAACCTCTCTTTCGGGGTTTATTCCCAAGTTTGATCTTTGGTTGGACCAGTCAGACTCGCTACGCTTTGCTTCGGTCCAAGCCTACCGGCGACAAGCCTCGCTTCGCTCGCTCGTCAGAAGTTAGCCTCCCTCTTTATACTTAAATTTGGAGCATTTTTTTAAAGGAGGAGTACCTTCGGTCTCTGCATTAATCGATGCATGCAGCCATATTGTTAAATAAAAACGTAACAAGGTCATAAGGTCTAAAGATGCTCATACTGAGCAGTAGTCAAAAGTAAAAAAAAATGAAAAGCGCCACACCTGGCGATATAAGACTGAAAAAAATGCCACATCTGGCAATATAAAAATAAGCTACGATGCCTACACACCTAGCCTATTATTAACTCGCCACCCAAATCGGCTGAAGATAGCCCATGCTACGTCTCCCAACGGTTGCACCCAATAAACAAAGGTTCCCTGAAGTCCGCATGAATGAGTAAGGACCACATAC